AGAATCTCCCAGGTAGCTACATAGTCCAATACAGGTGGAGGGCAGCAAGCTGAAGAAGGATGTAGTCAAATGGTAAGAGCGAAGTCACTGAAATATAAACTAATGATGGTATCATGTATAGTGTAATTTATCCAGTGCTATGCAGAACTCAAGTTTAAGTGTCCAGGCTAACAAAGGTAACACTGTTAACGTAAGACTTTACGCAGGCCTACATATACAAGACTGATGTATCAGGCATAGGTTTGGGACCGAGTCCAGGATCCCACTCAACAGAAAAATCAGGTGGGGTTCCAAATGCAACAGGGTAGACTTACCTCTTTCTGAAGTGAAGCGATGCACATTAAAGCACAGTTGGGCAACAAGCAGCCTCACTGTCCAATTTATGCAAAGACTGATAAAGAGATAATTTTTGGAAGTGGGGAAGGCATTCAGATCACCTATGGAGTGCCCAGTCAAAATCAGATTACAAACAAGCTAAGGTTAACCCTTTTGGTTTTCCATAGTAGCTGCTGATGCTGTTAAAAACAATAAGCATGATTAATGGGGTGGATGTACAGTCCATGGTGAGGGAGCATGGAATGGCCCCTGGACTGCCTGCAGCTGCCCGCCAGTGAACTCAAGTCTCCCCCTCAAAGACCTTTTCAGTTCAGCACCTACTAGTATGTACCTGTTCCACTATATGCATCACCATAAGGATGCAAAGATGTGCCTGTTTTGTTGCCATGAAAATTTACTGAGTAGCTAGTTTTCAATATGTGGATGTTTAGTGATGCTAGGCAGGAGTACAGAACTCCTTACCACAAAGGTAACTAGGGGCTTGGGACAGACAGAGGGTAGAAGGCAAGAAACATACGAATACAACATATTCTGGGTATAGATGGGTTACAAAGGTTCCAGCTTTGCAGTCAGTGGTGGTTTTGCCCGTAACAGAAAACCTGAGCTGGATTATGAAGGACATGTGGGAAGCAGACGTACAGAGGGCAATAAATATATGAAGAATGCGATACACAACCAAGCATTTTGCTGCCTGAGGTGGGCACATTCTGCCTCCCCCACCTGCATACCATGCACAGCAGCTGACCAAACTGGCTGATGGATTTTTAGTTCAGCACTGGCAGTGGAGCACCTACACCTGAGGACCAGCAGCTTAGCTTAGGGGGCACAGGGCAGGCTGCAAGGCACAATCTGCACCTCACTGCTGCCCATCCCCAGTATTGGCTACCTGAGGCAGTCCCTTCACTGTGGCAAATGGGAGGGCCAGCCCTGTAAAGATGTACGAACTTTGATTCGACAAACCAACAGTCCAGTTAGCTTTACATTATGGGATGCTTCTGTTAGAATAAATGTGTTAATCTTTAAGATGCCACAATACTCTTTATGGATTTTGTTGCAATAGACCATAAGTACAATCCTAGACACATCTACCCTTTAGGTCTCATGGGGATGCTCCCAGGTGAATGGCTGCCAGACGGCCGATTAAAATGGCTATTCCTCTGGAAGTCATCAAATAGCTCTGCACACCCCATAGAGATTTTCGGTAGTAGCTTTCAGCAGCTAAGCTGAAGCCTGCAACTTCTGATCGGTCTTTCTCAACTGCACCAGGCAGGGGAGAGAAGGTTGCTTCCAAAAGCCGGTCAGATGAAAACCACTCATTTTAGCAAAAGGCTGCCTTCATTTACACAGGAGAAGAGGTCGGTACGTTATGTGCAATACAAGAATCAACATTTCCCCTTTTTATTATGTGTGTTCTGATTTGGGGAGATGCTAGGCGGCAGCGGCGGCTACTGTTCAAATAGGAGAGCGGCCGTCGCATCAGCAAGTGGGCACCCGCACGCACACACGCACAACTACTAGGCGCAGATCGCGCTCCGGCAGCCTTCCCTTGCCCAGCGCAGCGTCCAGACCAAGAGGCTGCCGTCCCGCATTCTGGGGAATATCCCACACGCTGCAAATGAGGTTGCACGCCTTGCATCCGAAAAGCAGCGGACACCCCTGCAACCGCTCTGGGGAAGGGCTAAGCTGTAAAACTTTCTGAAAAACCGGGGCGAAACACCTTGTGACCAATGCTTTACAAACGCATCCACACATGCCTAGGGGCTACATCAGGGCAAACTCCAGATCTGTCACGAACCAGCCTTCACAAAAGTCGGCATTAAATCTGTTCGGTAATTTATCTCTCCCCACCTGTCCTGCAGCGTCCCCCACCCCAACAAATCCGGAGAGGAAGAAAAATCTCTTTCCATATGCTATCAACACAATTCCTGACTCTCCGTCGAGTGTTCCTTCGTACCCAACGGAGGAAAAGATTCTATTGCCGCAGAACCGCAATCAGGAGCGAACTGGGGAGCACGGAGAGGCGGCGGGGGGTTGTTATTCATTACCTGGTAAGTGCTGCCGAATGGTTAAAGGTTGCAGCTTGCTGCTCTCAGCTCCGTGTGTTTAAAAACCGGTCGGCGCATCCTTGCCTGGACTCTCCTTCCCAAAGGAGTCGTGTAAGCAGGGCGGGGGGGGGGGGCGGGCGGACTGGGATTCCTGCCCAAAATAAAACCCGCTCCACTGCTCTTGGCCTAAAGGCAACCGCGACTCTTCCCAGGCTGCTGGAAAGCGAGTGCTGGGCAGCAGGGGGCTTCCTATCAAAGAGCCTTGCCAAAGCGATCCTGGAGTAAGAGGCAGCAGAGGGAGGGGGCCGGAGACATGAGAGAAAGGCGCCTTTCGTGCGCTAGCAAGCGCGGTTGCAACGAAAGGGCTCCCTCCCCGGTTGCCCGGGTGTCGCGGGACCCCTACTGGCAAAGCAACGCAATGGCGCTCTGGCCCTCCAGTCAGTGCCGCAAGAGACCTGGGATTTATCTGACTGATGGGGATCAGAGGAAGGGCTCGGGACTTCTCGTGCTTTCCTCTGGGCTCTCGCATGCACACTCCTCGAGGAAGCGCGCCTGCAGAATCCAGCCTTTCAAGAGCTGTTATTGCATTACGTTTACACCCCGCCTTCCTTCTTCCTGCAAGGAACCCAAGGAGACTAGCGAGGTTGCCCTCTTCGCCATTTTAACCTCACAACAACAGCTCTGTGAGTGGGTTAAGCCCAGAGTCCGTGACTGGCTCAGCGTTACTCAGCGAGCTTCCCGCATCTCCCCAAATCCCAGTTCAACACTCTAAAGGAAGAAATCCACCATCTCAGAGATTTCCCTTCCCCATGTACAGTTCACTTCTGGGAACCCGAGAACCTCGAAATATACTCCAAAAAGGCATTTGTCATCCACGTTCTAAGCATACATGTAAACCCATTGAGCAAAACTTTGATACACAAATAGTTATGCAAAAGAAAAATAAAACAAATAATAAGCAAAAGGGCGGTGTCAAGGGTTGCCAAGGGTTGGTCACTCATTCAAAGCAGTCAGAGGTGGTGGGATGATGCCATCCTTCATCTGTGGCTGTATATAAAGAGTCACAATATAACTGTGACTCATGGGCTTTTGACAAACTCAGCTCAGAGCAGTTTGCCTTCAGCTGGGTCTGCTGCAAATTCATGAGTAATGTGGCCCAGTGCCATGAACCACTGACAAGTATTTAGCATTGGAAAATCAGAAGTCTTTTAACCCTAAAATGTGATATTTGACAGCATGTCCATTCAGATTCATCAGATGTAACAATTCCCAGGGAGTCACCCTGATAATCGGTTGTGCCAAAGGCAACAAGGGTGCTTTATGGCAAGGGCTTTCTGGTGCCATTTCCCTGCAGTGGTTATGGGAGTCTAGTTGATGTTATCTTCTATTTGTTCCCCTCCTGTGTTTTCTTTGTACAGCTTCTTCTGCCTTTTTTCTTAATGCCACTGAGAAAGATACAGCCCAGCTGTACCTTGCAATTGATTTTTGCCACTAGGAGCCCTCCATCTGGAAGAACCCGTGAGCTATGGCACCTTAAAAGCTATCACATTTCATATTGTAACAGGTGAAACTGAGGCCTTTTAAATATCAGAAGCTGATTGCCAGAGAGTTCCTAAGTTTTGGCATCTTGAGCTGGCACTCCTGCCTGTGTGTTTTTCTCCACTCACTCCATGGAGCTTGCAAGAAAGTGGGCATGGCTTCCTGTTTTGTCTTATCTGCTAGACTATGCTGTTGATCGCAAGACATGTGTTGTAAGCCGCCCCGAGGCTTCGGCGAATGGGGCGGCATAAAAATGTCTTAATAAATAAAATAAATAAATAAAATGTAGCTCCTCACACAGTTCAAACAGCAGGACTCCCTTTATTACTGACTGTACACAGGCTTCCCAGATCCCAGAAACATTGTCCTCTTTGCCAGAGTGTATTCCACTTCTGATCCTTTAGAACAGCAAACATTCCATAATGTGATTAAGGCTGGAACAATTGTGGTACATCATCACCACATTGTATTTATATTCCACCTTTTTCCTCTTGTAAGGAATTGAAGGTGACTGGTTTATACAGTCCTTCACTCTTCATAACCACAACCCTCTTAGGCTGAGAGGCAGCAGTGACTGGCCCAAAGTCAGCCAGTGATCTTCATAGCAGAGTGAGGACTAGAACCTGGTCTCCTGAATTCAACACTCTTGAACCTGGTTCAACACTCTTACCACTGCGCTGCACTGGCTCTCAACATGTATTTTAAAATAACACACACTAATGAGCAGGACTGGGCTCTACTCTTCGCTGCATGCTTGCAAGCCTCCGACTCCTTTGCGCTGAGTGACCCTCTTTAAATTTTGCTTGCCTGGTCGGGTTATAAATATAGTAACCTAAGCTATAGGGTCCAAACATGTCCCTCTCTCCAAACATGTCCCTCCCATCTTAGCCTAGTGCAGTTCCTTCAGCTGCTCCTATACTTGGTATGACCTTTTCCCATCCCTGCCCACCCCCTTCCCATCCCTCTCTCCCTTTCCTTGCTCCTTCCCTCCTTCGTGTTGTGAGCCTGATGGCCAATGAGCTTCTCTAGAAGATCAAATGTCACTATAACAGGAGGACTTAATCGCCTGGTGGCGTTTGCAGACCCTGCAGCCTGTCCCATTCGGCAGAAAGCTCCTCGCGTCTCTCAGCTCCCCCTTCTCAGGTAAGAAGGAGGTTCAGGAAAGGGATAGATCTGTAAGGGAAGAGAAGGAAGAACAGACCCTAGTCTTAAATTCTAAGGTTAGGAAGAAGTGCAAGAGAGATGGAGAGATGGTTATAGGCCTAGAGTAAGCACATATTCTTTTCCTGTTGGACGTGCATCTTCTTCTTAGCTATGTTAAGGGAGACTTGCTTCAAGGCAGGGACAATTATTGATAGTGGTCCATTTAAAAAATCAAACCAAATTGTGGGGTGGGAAACACATCAAAAGTACAGCCTGTGAATGAGAAATATATGGCTCTGGAAGTGATCAAGAAAAGTCTGAATCGTATACACAAAACACTCAAAATCTTCAATAGCTGTAATCATTTCAGCTGAAAATATTGCTCCAAACAGAGATTTTCTTGCAACTTGAATTCAGTTTGAAAGGAATGGCAAAAATATATAAATGCAATCCTTTTATGTGAAGTGGGGCATTGATAGACAGTGAAGCTAGCTGTCAGAAAGGTGTCAAGTGAAGTGTTTGCATATCTTTGTGTGGTTAATGTGTGTAGTTTTTAGTAAATCAGTGTAAACTTAAGTTACTTAAGTCGCATTGACTTTGACCTAATGTAACACAAAGAAAGAGCTATGGTGGCATGATTTTGAACTGGGGTTGTTGACTCAAAAATCAGTATGACAATCTGGGGAGCTGAGCTTAATTGGGGAATAAAATTATAGTGAGTAATAATGATTTTTTAATTACATTTTTAAAAAACTTGATATAATGATTACATTTCTACACTGGAAATTTTTAAACTGACTAATATGCAGTTGTCCTCTTGGAAATCAATAGGTTTTTGGTGGGCATGAAAAGGCCTGAGTGCGAAAAATGGTCAGGCATCAAGATATGGCAGCCTCTTTTTAACACTTTTTCTTAATGGCATGTTTCTTGAGCAAGGATGAGTCTGTTGGGCTGTTTTTGAATTTTGTAGCCACTGTGGTAATTCTGGCTCATATTATCCCAATAACTGGCATAGTGTTCTATGTCTTCATCTTATGTGGAAAGACCCTTGATGCTTCTAAACAGGAAGGAAAACTGACCCAGGACTTTGCTTCCCTGCAGTTATAATGTGGGTTGAATACAACTGGGGGCATGGCACAGGACTAAGTCTTAGGGCATACGTTGTCGTGTCCATGCACAAGTTGCTTCAGCTCTGTGTGGCAGCTGCCTCCCTGTGGCAAGTCAGCTCACAATACAGACTGGATCGCTTTCTGCACACCACTACAGGCCTTTTTTGGCTGTTTGTGGGGTGGTGGAGGAAATCCTCACTGGAGGACTGCCACCATGTGGCAGCCATGATGCCTGCACCACCTCAGTCAGACTAGGGTGTTTCGCTTCTTTATTTTTTGGCCAATAAAATGTGATGGTATGAAAATTCCAGCTTGCCTCTCACAATGAACCTCACCCTACCTCATTCTGAAGGGTCAAAGATCAAGCTGAGGCTGGCAACCCTCAAGATCTGGCAGTACCTTCTATTATCGTCACTTACAGCACAGCTCACTTGCAGGCATCGTGTGTATGATTAAGCATGCTATTAGTCTGACAGGTACAGCTAGCCTTAAATTAGAGCATTAACTAATCTACCATGGGAGTGCTTTTGTGAGTAAGGGAATCTGCTTCCCTAATGGAGATGGGACGGGGTCATCTTTCTGTCCAGGGGGAGGCAATCATCTGTCTCATTCATGGAATCTTGTGGGAGGTCCAGATGTTGTCACCATCCACTTGGAACCCTCCTGTGTTTTCCCACTGTGGCTTCTATCTTTTTCTTATGATACTTCCTCCACCTGGAAGTACCTCCATTCTAAACCTGTAATTCTAAACAAATCTCATTTTAAAGGGAAAACCAGAGAAGTTTAAAAATTGAGATATCGCATTCTTATGGTGTTCTATAGCAGTATGAGTTATGCTGCCTTTGCCTTGTAGCCACCAATCGACAGCATAGTTTACTGATACATACATTTATTTGCATGGACAGCAAATTTTAATACCATCTGCAACCCCTTTAGAGTCTTTCTATTGCCAGAAAGATAGCAGAAATCTCACAAAACATTCCAGCAGAGGGTGCAGCTGCATGAAAGAGGATCAGGAACGTCAGGCCAGGTTTCATTCTGAATCTTTCTTATACTTAGCGAACTCTGTGCTTTGGAAACAAGCAGAGCCTGACAAGAGACCACAAGCACAAATGGATGGGATTAAGAACGAACAACTTGAACTTTCTTTCTTTTTCTTTTTTTAAAACTCCGGCTGTTGGTTTCTTGGTCCTGATCGTGGGATCATGTTGCAAGTTAGGAAGAATTTCTATGAGATGCAGAAAGTAAATGGAAGGAGTGCAAAGAAAAATATACTAGAAGTTATTAGGCATGTCAGACTGAGTTGATAACCTGGCAGGGGTCAAGATTTATCTGCCAGATGACAGATAAATATTCTAGGTGTCACTTGCTTCCTCTTCCCCGCTCAGACCTTGTGCTATACCTGCCAGGTCTGCTCTTGAGCATTTGCCCATTTTCTTTCTTTCCCCTCCTCATCATCTTGCCACCTCACTTCCCTTGTATGGCCAGGGAGACAGAATGATTGATGGTGGCAAGGCTATTTTCATAAATGGCCTCTGAGGTATAAGGGAGTAAATTCAATCTATCAAGGGGAAGATGGGAACATTCTCAGCTGTTAAGAAGCTCCTGAGGAGATGGGGACTGTGCTTTTTAAGCCAAGAATTGGAATAGATTTAGGCCAAAAGAAATGTATGGTTCAGAGCAGGAAGCAGAGATGGTGCAGAAGATTTATGTCACAGACTCATGATCCACTTCGTCTACTTCAGTTTGAAGTATCAAACTTTCAGTATCAAATGTACTACTTTCAGTATCAAACTTTCAGTATCAAATGTCCATTTGATACTACTTTCAGTATCAAATGTCCATTTATAATGTCTGCCCTTCATATAGGATTTATTAACCTTGCTTGTTTGTTTATTAAAAGCTTTCATATAACGTCCACTACAAGCATCTCAGGATGGTTTTACAATTAAAGCAAGATGATATAAGATAAAATAGAGCACAGCATCCAATTTCCAATAAATAAAACCACCTTAAAACTGATTAAACATTAAAATAATGGGAAAATAAAAAGGGTTTCGGGTTTCTGAGTTTTCTGGAAGCTCCTTTGAACTACATATAATGTGCAGCTTTCTGATAATGATTACAGAATGGGTTCATGTGCTAGTTTTCTTTTTCTGTCAGTAAAAACAAAATGAAACAAAAGGGGGGGGCACTCCTGGGTCTTCCATACTTCATTTGTGTTCATCTTGGGTCTTTTATTGTTTGCTGAAAATCAGCAAACCGAAACATCTGATAAACCATGGAATGTATTACCATGCCTCTCAGTGTCCAAAGATGATATGTCAGGACAAGACAGAAGCAGAATTTAATGCAGCCAAGACCCTCCCAAGGGAAGAACCAAGATTCTTCGGTAGTCATTGAAAATGCTTCCACCAAAGAGCCCCGAGAGGTGGGAGTAGGCCGCGTAATCCCACAGGGCACACAATGTACTGGAGTGCAATTCTCAGATAACTTATGGTTACAGTTGATCTAAATACTGCATCCAGGGAACACTGGGACGGAAACTTTGAGATTGTATACTGCCTCTGTTTCCTTGGCACCCAAGGAAGTGCCACTTCAACCAACTGCTTGGAGTGCTTCTGCATTTGATATGAGCATTGCTTTAAATTAAGCATTTCTAACTTTTTCAAGAAAGTGTAATGCCCATTATTCCTTGGTTAGTAAGTGTGATTGCTAAACAGGTTTGGACACTGATTATATTTATGGGGTAGACCTGCCCTTAGAACCAGCTTTCCATGCCAGAACTCAGTTGAAGTACATGTGAAATGTTAATAGAGAAGTGACTGCATTTGAACATGCATGTGGAGTACATCAACTTTGCTTCTGCCAACTATAGCAGCACTGAACATTTGGGGTAAAGAGAAAAGCGGATCCTGGTACTTCCCATGGTTTAATGATCAAGGCATGCTGCCTCTGATGCAGAAAGCCATATATAACCAAGAGAGGGGTTAAGCAGCCATTGGTAAGGATGGAGCATCTAAACTTAACATTCCAGGATGCTGTTTAGGGAATAATCTCCCAGCAACTAGGACTCAGGCCATACATGCTTGGAGGAAACAGGAAGCTTACAGGTATTAAACAGATCAGTTTAGAATCAATAGGAGAGCCCTTAATAGAACAGGTTGGAAATGGCTTGATGACGCTCATTTCTACAATGTGAATGAGCATCAATTTCTACCCTGCTGCTATAATTTTTGATCCATACCTGGATCTTATAAATCTTTGATGTGCATAGTATTCCTTCCCTGTCAGGGCCACCAAATGTTGCAAACTGGGTTTACCTGAGACTGTGATGATTCATAGCATCTGAATTTCCTTCAGGCCATTTGGATATGGCTGGTTGTATTCTGTTATTTAAGTTGTAACAAGGTGTTATAGTTTAATTTCTTAGTCCTCTGTTCCTTCATTACAAATCAGGTGCTATTTGCAGAGAATTTGTCAAGCATAAGGACACATTCAAATACCCAAACACTTAAGTTTGAATTAGAGTTTCAATTTCTTGAAGTAGATATCAGATTCACTTTTTTAAATCCTTCCTGGGTGTTTTTTTCCCCTCATTGACTGCTTTAATAAATGAAGTTAGTATTGAAGGAATCAGCTCCAGCCTAGATGGACTGCCTTTCCTTTCCATCTTGAAAAAGACTCAGTGGTAAGGAATGGAGAGCAGGTCTACCTAGAAATGATGCCAGGGAGATGCCGTCACTCTCAGTTTGCTCCCTTTACCCTCAGAGACGTAGCCAAATTGGACCGACTCTGTTCTGATGCTGCTTTATCTGGGAAGAAGAGCCAGTTTCAAACAAAGCAAGATGGTGTCAAAACGACAGTCAGCCAGTGCAGCAAAGAGCTCAT